CTAGCGTTTCACATTACTTTGCATTAATTAGTTCATATTACTTCTTTTAATTCAATTCTCAAATTTCCTTCTTGATTATTCTAGAGTTCTATGAGACTTGTTTATTAATTTACAATTGCACTAGTTTTAATCCGCAATTTCAATTACGTGGCGCACGTATTTATTGGCCTTCTGCGGAGCAAAAACCCTAATAATAGGTATGTGTATATTAAATTTTCCCAGGTTTGACCCTTACGATGTCTTGTGTGTGATCTCCTGTACGATGTCTTAAGTATCATGAAGTAACAAATAAACTCTATCTAAATCTGCAGAGAAACTCTTTTGATATTAGTAGATATTAAAGTTTATTTTATTTTTCTTTAATCAAAAACATATAAAACTAAATTATATAAAGGTACAATGTCACTTCACTGTCTACTACTACCATTAAAACATTTATCCCTTTATAAATATTTTTACTACATATTTCTACAACACTATCACATTTAGCTGTAAGAATAAATATAATAGAATTAGTATAATTTATATTTTTAATCTTTAATATCACGTACTCGTTTAATTTATACATATACTATGTCCATTTATTAAGTATCTACTTACTTGATGTTCACATGCCCACGTTACTTTTGGATTATTCGTAATGTATATTTATAAATAATTGGTTTTATTAAAAGCAATCGTAGTTTCAAATAAGTATTGTCGGAAACAATTTCTCAAGATGTTAATGTTGGTATGATTAAAGCCTGGAGTACTAGTTCGTAGCAATGGAAGTTCGGGATTAGATCTGGCTGGTGTACTCTGGACAAAATATTCTTGTAAGATAAATTGTTACCTGTTATTATAGTCGGGCATTCTGGGCGATGCAGGTCAAGACGTTAGACCCTTAAAGCACTGGATAACCTGTTCTGGTCGTCATACGCCGCCAGGTCCATTCCTGTCGTTATCCTTTCCCTGAGACACAAGGGGGATCGAGTCAGGGGTTCTAGTCGGTGGGAGTCTATACAAATGGAAGTTCCTCGGCTTGTCGTCAACCGTAGTGGGGAACTGGAGCCACTACGCATTGAGGACCGGCTTCCGCCTAAGTCACGGTAGAATGTTCAGCGACGGTAAAACATAGGAATGAAGACTAATGCGCCAGTGGGTAGATAAATATAGAAACTTTACTCTAAAGAAAGCTCTGTTGACAAATCCGTTCAAAAGGTGGACTTTTGGTTAATTCATACCGGAACTTATCGAATAAATAACTTAAAAACCAACGTATTTAGATATTTATTTATTTGACTACCGACGGTTTATTTCACACATATATAAATATCTGTTACTTAATATATATCTCTAACTAAAGTCTGCAATATATTGTTAATATATTATTTAGCATTCAGTAAAAAAATTGGTTTGTACTTTATATTACGATATTAATTGACATTCCTTGATAAGTTTGCGTTAAAAAAATAACCTGGTATTTTGGTGAAACGCGGATATAAAAAAAAACGTAAATGGGTCATTATTTTTTTTAACCTACATGATCTTAAAATTTTTACTCAAATTTCCAAAAAAAAATATAGCGCTTTCTAGTCAAATCTTGTATGTTTTGTGATAGCTGAATGTCTATTCTATCTGAAAAAGTTGTTGGCCGCGAAGTTTACAAATTTTTGTACGATTTTCGAGGCATTAAAGCAGGATTGAGCGAATAATTGTACACCTCCGTCACAATATCTTTTATTTTTTTGTGTCAAATAGTTTAACTCAGATAGCTTGCAAATTACTTTTTACAATAATAATCAAATGGTCCTTTTAGAAAACTTACAAGGCAAGACTTCTGTATATAACAATAAATATATATTTTTAATCTTATACCATTCTGTCACAATTGCAGTTTTTTAGAAGTATATTTTTGCTATAATTCAATTTCAACCACTTCTAGCACAGAAATATTAATGTCGTAGACTATATTATAGTTAACTATTTTTAATATAATTTTTCCATAATTGTACTATTCATAAGAAAATATTAAAATGGCTATATCAATTTTAAAACCAGGAGACATATCGTGACAGAGTGGTAGAGTATGTGATAGAGTTGTTATTCTATATAATATCCGGTTATATTTTGGAATAAAACTAGTTTTAAATGAATATTTTATTTAGAATCATTTATTACTTCTTTAGAATAATTAAATACTTGACAGTCTTACATTCTTACAACTGAAATACTCTCATACTAATAAAATCACATTACAGAACATTTGGAATGAGATCCGTATTAGTATAATTAAATTATAAGACTTCTAACTTGTCTCAAATAAAAAAAATGTCTAACTTGACTGAAAAATTAAAATAAAATAATAATCATCATCAACAAATAACTTTCTTCAGTCATACTTGTCCTAATCAGTCTTACTTGTCGAACACTGGCAAAAGCTCATCAAATTCAAAAAACCGTCTCTTTCCTTTTTTAACTACTTTTGGATTTGATAGAATTTTAATCAAATCCTCATACGGAACATCTAATAAGTCATCCTCCACTAATAAATAATCTTCCACAATCATCGACTGTTTTCAAGAACATCACCAGAACATCGCCTATGTGACGTATGTATATTGATCATTTAATTCACTTTTTACTTTAACGAGTACATGTACACCGTCTTCTATATTCCTATGATGAAAGGCCTTGAGGTGAAGTGTTTCTTAAGAAGTATTAGAAAAGGTCGTTGGATTAGAGGAATCTTTGCTTGCATATATGTGTGCAATGGCTGATCTTCCTCAGATGATTCATATATAATATCATAAAATCTTTTTCGAGGCATCCCAATTTTGTTCGTAATATCGTGAGCGACAAATCCTCCACTTCATGAATTGCAACATCTTCTTTTTCGTTAGGAAACAACTAGTCCAAAATATTGTCAACATTGGATTCTGTTTCAGGCAGAGGCTAATAAGTTTTAGAAACGACGAACAGAATTGTTCACAAAAATAACTCAGAACCCTAAAGTTTAAGATTCCACGAGTTTCTGAGAACAGTTGGTGGATTTGCATGGTTCCTTTCAGAGGTAAAATACTGCTTGGAATAGTCGATACTCCATTGTCATGTCTTCGTCTGCCACCAAAAACCATTTAATTTTGCTGGTATCTTGAATGGAGAAAAAGAATTCTAATACGTCTCCGAAATATTTTCCTATTGCTACAATAGCATCAGTTTGGCGTTTCAAAGTTCCACCAATACCATTAGCAATTCCCTTTCCATGTCCTGATTAAAAAAAATGGAAGTTTGGTATCGTTCTTTAATGACATTGGAAAGGACACTATATTTGTTTTCATTCTTACTGTTCTTTTCATCTTTGCTATTGCTATCTTTTTTGGATTTTCTGTGCAAGCTTTTCTTGTATTTTTGAACTTTCCTCTCTAATTCTTCTATTTTATCTTGTAAACTAATATTCTCTCTGTATAACTTCTCTGTGTTCTATCTCTTTTCACTGTCTTCCTCCCTCTTGAGTTAGACACTTCGGAATTAGTTGGTGTTGCAGAATGAGGACGTATTTCTGGATGGGGATGGAGCCGGCGTGTTCAACAGTATGTTTTCAAGCGTTTGTTTTTTTTCTTTTCTTGTCGCTATTTTCTCTTCATCATACGATGTTCTCTCACAGTCATGTCAGCCACAAGCTTCTTACGAGTATGATATCTCTCGAGATGTTTGCGTTTTACTTCAGCTACCTTTTCTGTATAACTTTTTCGTATCTTACGGCAGCGCCGCTGTTTTTCTGCTGTTAATGACTTCTTTTTCGTCATAATAATATCTTGAGAAAGAAAATATGTAAATAAATCCGTAAACATTAGAAAAACACTAGATAAACTTTATATAGAAATAGTTGCCATAATAAGTACTGGCCCTGTTTCAACAAATTCTTATATTTTATGAGATAAAATAAATATTATATTCTTTGCAAGTATTTTTTACCCATCCGTCACGTACATTACCACTCCGTCACAATTTTATTGTGACGAAGTAGTAGCGTGACGGAGGGGTAAATCTTACTTACAAAATTATTAATATGTAAACGTTACCACAAAATACAAACGTAACAGGTTGGCATGAAAGTGTTTCTTATTACGCAAAAATTAAATAACAAGAATTAACTGTAATTGATATATTATTGTCCAATACTTACGTGACGAAGTTGTCGCCGAATAAACACACGCACCTCCATACACAGATTCCGGGCGACTTACGCGCAATCTCTAAGTCCTAGAGAGCTTATCTCAGCAAGGGATAGGAAGGACTAAATATCCAATCGACGGCAACAAAAGCGACCCGCGTATATGCGTCGCTCGAATTAAAAAACATGTGACCGAATATACCCATTAAAACAGTCTGTAGTGAAAGACAAGACTTTAAGATTTTTCTATTTTTTTATTAGAAATGTCAAAAATTTTTAGTCAGTACAATAAAATGAACTATATCTTGTAGAATTAAAAAATACTTTTATATTTGCTACTGTCTTTATATTTTTTCGTACCATTATGAATTAAACACAGGCTCAGGTAGCGGGAGACAGCTATGATTTGTATGAAATACACCTCTGTCACGCGGATTGACGACTCTGTAACGTATTTTTTATTATAAAAATATAAATGTTTATTTATTGTGAACGTGTATAGCCGTTACATTTTTAGTACAGTACATATTGAAACATTAATAATAAAATAATACGGATAATTTTCGATTATATTTTTTTTTAACTGATGAAGACACCTTTTTGTAGGTTAAAAAGAAGAACGACCCAAATATGCATCATCGTATCTGTTTATATTGATAAGATAGAGCCGACAGACCGGATAAAAGAATCACATTGAGTTAATAATTTAAAATTGTTTTTAGAAGACGCAAATAATTTCATAAATTTTCCGGCAATGTAATTTCATTAAGGATTTCATACAAGCATTTAATTGAATGATAACCTTTGTCAATTTATTGGTAATACTTTTATATGGAATAATACCATGTACGTCAGTGTATGGATTTCATGGATTATTTTACCAATTATTTGTAAGTGATTTTTTAAAAATTATATTTGGTAACAAATGATCGTCATAAAACGTGTGGGAATCGAACTTGTGGCCGTATAAAAGTAAGAGTATATAATCAGCATGAGCTGGGTATGACGTAAATAACTTAATTTTATGGATGATAATGGAGTGGTGCGCTGACTCCAAATAATGGGATAAAAGCAAGGCAATGATGATGATGAATGGAGTGGTGCACCCGCCTGCGGTAACCAAAAACACTGGCAGGGCACCAATGGAGGATGCATAGAGTAATTAGAGCATAGAGCAATTAACGATGAGGTTTTCGAGGCAAGATCGCATAAAGGTCAATCAGATTTAGTACCTACATTGGTAGTAATGTGCTATGTGTCCCCATTACGAACAATCCATATCCATCGCTGTTTTTGTGTCTATCAATGGGGCTACTAGAACTCTCTGGTGACTCAAGAGAAATATAAGATCCCTTTAGCCGTGTAGTAGTCGTGTGTAACAAACAAACAGACAGACAGTTGCGCATTTATAATATATATTGTATGGATATTGTATTTTATATTGTAGGTTTATGTAATACATACAAAAGTAATGACAATGGCGGAATTAAATACAAACGAAACCCGGCTCCCGATGGTCACAGGTTAGTGCATACATTAGCAGCTACCTAAACATAACCGAACTTCTTGATTCAAAAGAACTAAAACATCTTACTAATCAACGTATCCCGTGGCACCCCCAAATGCGATTCCATTCCGCAGGACTATGGTCTGATGAATCGTCGTACTTTGTAATTTCACTACTATTATCGTTTCCTAAGCAATGGCAGGAGAACTCATACTCATGCAGATGACTTTGTTCAAATTCTCTAAGATGGTGCTCAGATGCACAATATCTACTATTGGGATATTGGGACTTGATCGGTTGCACCAAACTGTAGCATTGAATATCAGTCACATGACGTGTGTAGTGCTGTTCATGTATGTTTGCGACTACTTAGCACCAAGTAAGATGTCAGCTTATTTACTATTCAAATTACATAAAAAAATTAACTGAGCGTTCTCTTTACACAACTACCACTATGTCCAACCAAGCACTTAACTCCGGCTCAGCTTGGCGCTTGTCCAACAAATGACCAGATAGACAACTATCTGTCCATTTGTTACCTTTTCACGGCTTAACGGCTAAAGGGATCCTAATTAAATTTAAAGTGAATATAAATTGTATCACAATAGCAGACATAGGCTATCTAAAATAACCACTTGAAGCCGTGGGCACTATTATATATTTCTAATAGTAATTCATATTCAACAGATGCGGTGTATGTCCAACTTTTTTCCAAAAAATCTGTGCATTCAACTTTGAAACCAATGGTACATTCATATTCGATAATCACTGCGTCATGGATCTTTACAACTGCATAGAAGGAACTGGTGAGTAGGTACCTTAATTACATATCCCGAGTAGCTTAATTCCAACAAGTAAGTAACTTCAGTAAGAATAATCATTGTCTAACTATACTATCTAAGCAATTAGAGTTACTATCCAAGCATTACAAAATATCGATATTTTTGTTCAAATGTTGTACTTTTTACTTTGTACTCGGTATAGAGTTACGGACCATTTGTATATTGCTCTGGAGAGACACAGACCGGAATATTCATTGCTTTTCGATTACACAACGTTATTTAAAAATTAGTTTGAAAACCTTATTTGAATTATGTTGCAAAATTCAATGATAATTGGTGTTACTAATTTTTTATTTGTAAATAATGTATTTTATTTTACATGTAGATGGTAATGGAATAGTGCAACCGCCTACGCTAACGGTTTACGCTGCCGAGGCACCAGTGGAAGATGATGAGATGAGTATGAGGTCAGGTCAGTTAGCCCATCGCGGTAAATTCACCATGAATTTATCACGATGGTTTCCAGGGTGAACCACGTGGAGGTCAACCTGACATGGTTGTCAGGTTGACCTAGCCTTTTTTTGTCGAACTAATAACCCCATTGCTAGCAATGGCGTTATTAATCCACATTACTAAAAATCCCCTGCCCCCTGTAAATAATGCATTATGATTTTCAGAATTTATCCCAATGAATTATGAACAATGCCTATATTTCGGCAACTTTGCGTATGTCCACGGTTTCAAGTACGATGATGAGGATTATGGAGAGGATCACATTATTGTAAAAGGATCGAAGAAGAATCCCGATTTTGTTAGATAACGTCTACTATTTTTCCTTCAGACGTAGCAATGTGCAAGAAATACAAAATGTTTTATACTGGACATCTTTTTATTGATATTAATAATTCAATTACATTATACAAGCAATTGAATAGGTAATCTGTACAAGTTAATGAGTTTATTTCCTGTTTTTACTTATTAGTTAATTAACTGTGACGTATGGTAATTTAAAAAAGAATATGACGGTAACATAATATACTTCACAATGTGATATGTAGTATATTTTTAATAAAGTGTTTATATATTTATTTTAAGATGAATAGGACATCTTATATATACGGCTCATTCCACACTTATATTAAACAGCAGTGCATTTCATAATTTAGCAGTTACTATGTACTATGATCACTAAGTTCCAAATCACTGTAACACGGAAAATAGTTCAATGAGAAACGTTCCTCTTTAACAACTAAGGCTGTCTTCACACGTCTCTGAAGTAAGAAGCAAAGTGTGTGAAGACAGTCTAAGTGAGAAACATGGGCTATGTGACAGCCATGTGCCCCAGTCGCTTGTAGTCAATCTTGTCGAGGTGTACAAGAGGTCTTAGCTGGTCGGCGAATGCACGCATGTCTTCAGCAATAGCGTCCTGGCCTTGTGGTGCTAACACCTATAACAGATACACATAGTTATTCTTAATTGAATGACTGCAAGCAATAATTATTTGCAATTCATTTTTACAATTGTTAAATTATAATTTACTAGTTACTCACCCTTCGGCCGGCACTGTTTAGTTTTAAGCAACAATTATTTGCAATTGTTAAATTATAATTTACGTCGAGATAAAGTTAATATTAATAATGTTTCCATTTAAACCAATTTTGAAGACTCATAATAATATATTATCATTTAGCCTTCTGTATTAGCATATTACCACTGTGAGTAGGCAGCACAATAAAGTTAAAAACTACTGTGCTGTATCAAGATTTCCTTTTCTTAGTGTATGTGCAATTTTCACTTCATTTCTACTTTGTACTAAATTATGTTTGTATAATAGTTACTATTGTAATTTATAAATATTGCATAGCTAATCTTCTATATAACCTTATTAAATATTTTGCTGTGCACATAATCATTGTAAACAAAATTATATTTATTTTTAAACATTCGCCTTTGGTTTTTTTTTCTTGCACCTTGTAGTTAATTAATTTAATATATTTATATTATTATATAAATGGTACAATCTACATAGCAGCAAAAGTAGATTCAATAGAAAAATCTCAGTCTTTCCTGTTTTAACTGTCAGGCAATTTGCTTTCAAGCTGTTGTGAAAATATGATAATATATTTTCTATTTCCCTATTATTTAGGATTGCCAAAAAGAAAACAACTAATTTGCCATTCCAATCATATAAAAATCCCTAGTTTTTTATTATGACAATAATTAATAATTTTACAAGTATTTTATACTCGTATGTAACAGATACATACCGATAATTCAACTAAGTAGCTCTGTGATATGGGTTCAGGAGTCATTGAACTCTGTGAAATCTTGAAAACTTTAGCAACTGTGATTTTCATTCGACCTTTTCTGAACATATAACCTAGAAAAAAACATTAAAGTACTATAAATAAACTACAGAAAAACATCGAATGACTCCTTTATATTCAATCTAATTATAGAAACAGTACTCTATAGGATGCAAATGGGCAGAAGTTTTCAACAGGAAGCAACTCTACATGATAGCATCACAGAACAGGTTTGCTCATAGTCTTAGAACTGATTACAAGTATACACAGAGACAAAAAAAAAATGTAATTTATAGAAATATCCTCTAATAAATATGTTTATTACATAACTATGTTTCTGTAGAAACTAAGAATATTATTGTTCTGTAAATGACTAGAGTATAAAAGGAACTTTCCTTGATTTATTCAACTTTCTATTTTTCTCTTCTGGCTTTACATTGGCAGTTAGTTATAAATTATTTGATAACTACAAATAATAACTTACCTTTAACACTATATTCAAACTCAATTCTACACCCCAATTCATTAAGGAATTCCAATAACATGCCATTACAAGCAATGTCAAGACTTGACCGCACCACTGTAGGCCGGTTCTTGTCTCCAAGGTCCGGTTGCCCAATGTACCTCAGCTGGAATGGCATGTCACGTACATCCAGAGCTTTACGGACTCTTAACATTAGAGGTGCAGCCTGTAACCATAACAATTAAAAAGTTAATAAAGTAGTCTTTATACAATATATCAATAAAACTAAAGTATTTTTTACTACTATGCTATAAATCTCTGACCACAATGCAGCTAATATTAAACTAAAAACTTTAATCCAGTATGAGTAATTTATATAACTTTAAAGAATGAATTAGTTTTCATTGATATTAGAACTAGTAATTTATCATTAATGATTTATACACTTCATGTGTATATATATATATATATATACAGTGGTGGTCATATAATTAGAAACACTTCTTATGAATAAAAAAAGTATAACTTAAACGTACAAATTATCGGAAAAAAAAATATATTCAATAATTAATAATCATGCAATAATATAGCCACTCAAATTAAAAACTCATTAAATAAATAAAATATAAAACATATTTTACTTTCAATTACAAAATCAGTCTTACGCATGTAGAAGTTTATTTTCTGTTACTTGCCGCTTGGACATCTAATTAGAAACATTTAAAAAAAAGCATCAATATATCGTTTTTTGTTTGGAATCGGAGAATAACATTTCTTTCTTGCCTTTATCTATTATTTTGGCGGCAATTCAAAATTTAATCTGAATTGTATGTTCTAAATGGGCAAAATAAAAGCTGTGACGCGTTAACTAGGCAAATAATTGTACATTTACATGTAGATCATAAATGGGCGTACAGAAGAATAGCTGAGCATTTAAATTGTTGTATTAAGAAAGTTTTTAATGTAATTGATTATTATAAAACACATGGCTATCATGATACTATTGAAAATGTTCTTAGAGAGGCTCAGCCAAAAAAATCCTCTCCCAGAGAAGCCATGCTAATCGTCCGTGTTACTAAAAAAGATCGATTTAAAGACTCCAACCAAATTAAAAATGAAGTTTTTTTGGCTGATGACCCGAGAAACATCTCGTCAAGACTGATACGCCGAAGATTAGTAGAAGCTACATTGTTTGAAAGAACCTATCGAAAGGTACCGCTTCTTACCAAGCAACACCGAGAGAAGAGATTATTATTCGCTAAAAAATATGGTAATTGGGACGGTAGAAGAATGGAAAAAAGTGTTATTTTCAGATGAAACGATAATAAATATGGTAAATTCCGATGGAAAGTGCTATGTTAGACATCCTGTAAACAATGCTTTTAATTATAAATACACAAGGAGTATAGTCAAGCACGGTGGCGGTAATATTAAAGTTTGATGATGTTTTTCCGAATATGGAGTTGGACTCGTTTGGAAGATTGAAGATATAATAATCAATGTCAACACAAAAATATGTTAAAGTACACAATGATTCTCTACTCGGACGATCATTTGTCTGTAACCTGGATCTTTCAGCATGAGAATGACCCTAAACACACGGCTAATAGCGTCAAATGTTTCCTTAGTGCAGCGTATATCCGTTTTAGACTGGTCAGCAAATGGTCAGGATTACCAGAATAAAAAATCTTTGATATATTGTTAAAAAGAAAGTCTTAAATTAACGTAACACCAGTCAAAACGAACTACATGAAGCATTTGTTGATGTATGGAATTCAATCTCCCTATAAAAATGTATGAAATTGATTGAATCAATGACATGTTGTTGCAGTGCTGTTATTAAAAATAAGGAATACGCCACTAAATATTAATTGTAACTATTGGTAGGCTGTGGGTAGTAGCTATTTCGTAAAAAACAATACTAACTACAAATTCTTTAAAAAAATAGTTTTTTATACTTTTTTGTTGTTGTTTCTAATTAGTTGACCACTATTGCTCGTACTTAAAAACTGATTTAAATGTTTGTTCGTAATGTAAAATTGAAACTGCTCTGGTGTAGTGGGATTTATATTGCTTTTCTAATAAATGATGAATCGTTGAACATATTGTTGTTCTATTTATTGTTTTATGTCAAAATAAAAATGATTGCGTTGAAGTATCTTACATAATGTTAAGAACCATTGGTAGTGTTTCTAATTATGCGTCCACCACTGTATATATATATATATATTATATATAGCTTAATTAAAACTACTCATATATATCTAGTTGTGTTTATTTGCATTTGAGTACATTTGGTTCGAAGTATTCCCTATAATACAATTTGACCATGATTAAATTTCTTCACAAACCAATATACAGACTGTTTCGTAAGTATATATTTTACAGATAAGTTGAAATGTGTTTATTTATAGTATTACCTGTTGATTTGGGTCTCGTAAACTGAAACATACTTCTTGGTCATTAAATGTCTCTGGGCCAGCATCAACATTATCGCAAAGACCACGTAACCTATGAAGTAACACTTCTACAGCTGAATCCAAGACGGACCCCTGAAATTATAATAAGTTGTCACTGTAATATTAGCTGTAGGGGCATCAATTAACGTGTAAAATAAAGCTTGAATGTTACTTAATTACCTGTAATAAGTATTCCTGATTAGGGATGATATTTGCTTTTAGTGCTTGAGATAAGCTGTCTGTTGCTGTAATAGGAGCAGCGTTTGCAGCAGACATTATATTTAAATAACTTGTCTTGTTTACAGAATGATTTGCATTTCAATATTACTTAATAAATATTAATTAAATAAATGTTTTATTAAATAAGTGTTTGAAATTGAGGGATAGATTTTAAAGAACATATACGAAATTAATTAAAACTGTATTTACAAATTTTAGAATAATAAATAAACTAAAAATGTATTAAAATTATGATATAATTCATAAATATTTCAATTTACACCGCAGACCACAGAGCAAACACTGATAAATGTCAATTTAATATGACATAGGGAATTATGCTAAATTAGGGTTTCCCCCCAAAATTTAGGAAGTTTTAGAGGTGGCAGGGATCAATTTGGAGTGACTAACACAGGTGACCTAAAAACAGTTACCAGTAACACAAATATAACAAACATAATAATAATAACAAAAAAGGCCATTGTTGTAAATCAAGGCAGTTAAAAATAAGGTTTTCAACCGATCGAAGTGTCATTAATACATATTAATAAATAATCATACGCCGTTAAAAACAACCAGTTGACAGGACTAAAAGTTGTTTTGGTGTTTTTTCTTCCTAACCAACATTTTCGTGGTTAAATTTGAAGGAATAGCACATACTCCTCTGGTAACACTCTGTCAAGGCCATGTATCCAGAGCCATAAAATATAATAAATAAAAAAAATAGAATCCACTTGAAATTTGTTTATATTTGTATTTTTTTCAGTCTAAAACATTTTTCATGTATATAATACTAATACTCTCCCATCAGTAGTCTTTTCCATTTCATAAATACATTAAAATAAATATGACAGGTCACGTTTCAATTAGATTAGCCTCGGAAAGAGTTAACCATTGCATTCCTACGGCAAATGAACTGCCTAGGTTTTATACTCCTGGTGAGGTTATAACTGGCATGCAGGATTTTATGCGGTAAGAATTTTATTAATTAGTGTAGTAACTAAACTATAGGCAGTTCAGTTTATTTGCTGGCAGATAACTTTTAAGTTAACCTGTTACTCGCCTTATTCAAAATGATATTTTTTATAAAATTAATATATTGTTATTTATAATAACAAAATAAACCCTGTATGATGGGGAGTAAGAGAGATTGTTACTAATGAGCACCTACTGGACACAACCAAATTGCAATGTTACCTGGAAAACTATGTGACTAGTTCCTGGTGACTTCTCTACATTGGTCTTCATATCATCATCTTCTAATGATGCCCCACCAGCCTTACAGCTTTAGGGCAGGTGCATGCCACCATTCCATATTCATTAATAGAAAATAAATTGGGTTACTACAGCGGTCATGGCACATATGCTGAAGATGAATGCCTCAAGGCGTCTGTGGCTGGAGTAATGGATAAAGTGAATAAATTGATTTGTATTCGTCCATTGAAGAGTCGATATGTTGGTGAAATAGGTGATGTAGTTGTTGCCCGCGTGCTAGAAGTGCAGCAAAAACGGTGGAAGGTTGAAACTAATTCACGGCTTCATTCAATTCTGCAGTTATCTTCTGTTAATCTTCCAGGAGGAGAATTGGTGAGTTATTAAATAATTATGTTAGATCCTTCTGATCTAGCATAATTATTAATTATTAAAGGAAATGTATTATAATATTAAAAAAAAACAGAAAAATCCAACATCTTTTATAATAATAATAAATAATGCCTCTGGACAATTCACACATAATCTACTCCCAAGGCAAGCATAGCTTGTGTTATAGGTACTAGATGACTGATATAAATAATTAGATATTTATATCAGTCATCCAGTACCACATTATAAATAGAAACCACCCAGATACAAAATACAATGATACTCATTAATATAAATGTTTGTACAGTGTGAAGAGTCAAACCTGCAACCATCAGAAGTGAAATGGTGTGCTAAAGTACTGGACCATCAAAGACTATGGGCCCTATATTTGATTACTTGATTGCAACTACTATAGTACAATTGTATTTTTTTTATGCTCTGTATCTTACTTATCAGCGCCGTAGATCAGCAGAGGATGAGCAAATGATGAGGAAACATCTGCAAGAAGGTGATCTTATTAGTGCAGAAGTGCAGAGCATATTTTCCGATGGCTCCTTGTCTTTGCACACAAGAAGTCTTAAATATGGCAAGGTAACATTTATAAAATATATTTAATTATTGTTTGGAATGTGTTCTAAATTAATATTATTAATATGCTGATCTCATGTTACAATATCCTTTCAATAAAAAAATAAAACTATTTTCAGCTATCTCAAGGCACATTAGTAAAAGTATACCCATCATTAATTAAAAGAAGAAAAAATCATTTCCACAATCTACCTTGTGGAATAGCAGTTATCATGGGTAACAATGGATACATTTGGATAAGTCCACAAATACAGGAGAATATGGCTGAAGAAAACGAGCAGGTATAATGTAACATATTTAAATCTGAATTATTATAGATATTTACTAAATAAGAAACACTTTAACTTGTATTTGTGTCAACCATTGCTGAAAGAATTATTACATATTGATTACAATATTGAATTCTAACTCAACTCATAAATGACAAAGGAAATATAGATATGGTTTGCTTATCAGAAACATTTCTTATAAAATGGAACAGAAGTCCATTACCTAAGCCTGAATTATTCTTACATTAATTACAATTGTTGCTTAATATATTAACACTTAAATAAAAAAAAGAAGTCATTATACTTGTATGTAGAGTATATAGATATTTTGAAGGATAGCAAGCATTCAAAGAAATTGTGTCATTATTCAAAATTAAAAGAGGATAGAGGATATATGTAATATGTAAAAAAAATCTATTTATTTTATTTCAACAGATTGTTAGCAGAACTGACAGAGAAGCTATGGCTAGAGTAAAAAATTGCATTGCTGCATTAGTAGCTTCCAAAATGATGCTGGATGATACTAGTATAATGTTTGCATATGAAGAAAGCTTGAAATATGACTCTGTAAAAGATCTCTTAGACCCTGAAGCTATGCTGGAAATTGCATTTTTAACACAACACAGAATAATAAATATTATGGAATAAGAGGGTAAATTAAATGAACTAAATCATGTAAAATCTTTATTATTTTTAATTAGTATATATAATTATATTATCACATTAATATTAATTGCGTTAAATATCTAATCATTATAAAAGTATAAACTATAAAATTGCAATTTTAATTATTTGGTATATATCATATATTAAAAAGTATATAATGAATATAAAATCTTAACATCAATTACAATAATTTAAACTTTACATTAATATTCGTTCGCTAAACATTAAGTTACAAAATTGCTTTTATTTTTAGGAAACCACCAAATCTAGTTTATAGTCTACATTTTATAAATATGTATTTTTTTCTTTTTAGTTGATTTGTTAATTTGAAAAGAAGTTGAAACCTAGTGCATTGAAAATATAAGGTAAAACTACTTATATAAAATATATACAGTTAACTCAGGGTATTTCTATGAGTGATTTTGTATTGTATTTGGCTTTATTAAATTTGAAATTACCACATGGTAGAAAAATACATGTTCGTACATACTTAAACTTTAAATTTTAATCTGATTATATTAAGATAAACGAATACTACAACGTTGAAACAATGTAATTATATTGAAATTGATAATTTGAATATATATGATAAAGATTTTCATTGCAAGTATAAGTTAATTAAACAGATAGAGTGGCAGTAGGCTCATTGCGATATGGTCGCGTGATATTATGAATTAGTCTGAAACTTGTCGAGCGATAACTAAAATAACAAATCCCTGAGTAAAGTCAATAAATATAATTCGAAAATATTATTACAACTTAGTTAATATCACATTACATCATGTTTTAAGTGAATCTAAAAATATATTACGTACATGTAACTTTTTTGTTTATTTTTGAGTTTTCTAATACTAACTAGCCTCTGGAAGCTCTCTGCAGGAACTGAACACATGGTTTCAAGACTTCGTATTTTATTCGTAATAAATACCTATACTATGGATGAATCATAAGTTTGTAACGTAAGAAATCACAGGCAAATTTAGCATTTGGAATCTCACAACTCTAGTAATTATTTTGGCAAATTGTTTGGTATTACTCTGCCCTCTGGTTTTCCTTGCCTAGAATTTTCATCAAATTTTTAGACGCAAAATAGGGTTTCTCTTTTGTCCCGTCGTTCCTTTCGAAGTCTTCCACTGTAAAAATATAAAATAGTTTAATTATTTCTTTAAATATAATGTTTAAAATAGAATTGTTTATATCCGTGAACCAATTTATAACCGCAATTTTACGTGATTGCCCCCCTGGCAATAACAGGAGATCTGTTATTGCCAGGATCTGTTATTCTTTGTTTCTTGTTATTAAAGTCATAGTAAATTAGTGTTATTATTTTATAATAAAAAAAATTTAAAAATACTTACAGAAACAAAGGAATAATGTGTCTACTGCCATTGAGTAAACGTTAAAGAAAATCGAGCATATGAGGTAGGTGACAACGCCTAGAATAATAGCTGGAATGTAGTTGTAGTGAAGACGTCCTCCTTGTGTCACTTCATACACATAGTTCCACTGCAAGAGGTAGTACACAGCAAAAGCCACACCAACTGAGATGAGCAGTCTGGACAGGAAAAATATAAAGTCCGCTACCTGAAAATTATATCAATGTTGATAAATTAAGACTATATGACTATGCAATTATTGGAAATATCTTAAATTTATTTGAAAACAAATTACAGTTCTTATTCTTCTTTGTTGTAGTTTTACTTTTGTAGTTACATCGTCAAATACCAATATACGAGAAAAACCAAGAGAACGGAGATTTATATGAAGATTTGGCAATTTGTGAAATAAAAACAAAATTGTACAGTAACAGAACTATAAATTTAAATATAAAAAGAAACATAGACATTTAGGTATATAAAGATTTCACTTGTCGAGATCAGGCAAATTACATTAAGAATCAGAATGAAGATAAAAAATATTTAATAGGATTACAATATTTACCTACATGTTAATAATTGAAAACTCACCTTATCCAGTACTACGACACGAACAATATTCCTCATCAACAAAGAGAATGCATCTTTTGCGCTCGTACAGAAATTACTGCCGTGTACTGCGCACATTATGTATGCATTTTTGTTTATGAATTTCAAGAAATTCTCTAGGCACCAGAAGAAGCATTTACAACAGCACAGCACACAGCGAGTGAACGGGTTGTCGAACTTCTTGACCTTCTGATCTATGTACTCTAAGCACACTCTTATTACTCGTACTATGGCGATAATGAGCGCCCCGATGGCCACCGTACCCAAGTGGTAACTGTAGAATAAAAAAAATTAACACGAAAAATCAGTAATGACATGAAATTAACCTTAACTAATAACAATTATAGTATACTGTATATACGCCCATCTGGAAGCAAATATTTAATATGAGTACTTTCGTATGCACGAAAACCAAATTTTGTATCTTATTTGCCATTATGCAAGACATTCTTTTTAAAGACAAGACCGCCTTTTGTTACAATGTTTTACCAAGATTATTGTTTTTATTTAATTAAGCAAACAACATAACAGCCAACTTGATGGTACCTAAGTGGTAATAGTTGCCTATATACACGAACTGTACTAAGTATATCATGTTATCATATGACATCCCTGATACCTCTTAGATATGCGTTGCCATTTCACAGAATTAAGTTGCCGTCACATCCTGTAATTTCAATGCATAATCGTACCAAACAACCTTTTTGTATTTGCTCTTTGTTAACAATAACTCTTTATTAAGCACACATGTTTATTATTATCTCTACTTTTCCTCGGACGGATTGTCACACTTTCGAATTATCACGTGGATGACGTGCAGCCCCGAACCTTATTTTTTTTCAAGGCGAGGCATAAACTTCTACATAATAATGCCCCCTCTCCTAATACTCCCACCGCCCGCCCCTCAAACAATATTTTTACAAACAATTTGTCCCATTACTATTGCTGTTACTGTGGCTTTTCTAACAGTTATATATGTATTCTCAAATACATTGAACACAAACAATTTACTTGACGTCCGTCTGTCAGTCGTCAAGTTGGCAACGATGCGTTAATGGTGAGTTGTGTATTCATCTGCCAAGTTCGAATTTAGCGCCCCCCAACCTTGTCGCCCGGGGATTGAGCCCCGTGTTGCCCTCTGTTAGAGCCGGGTTGGTGACGTGTAAGGGTTAAGTATGATTATAATATATTTTTATATACTATTCTACAATATTTCGTAACGCACCGTATAGTTCTATAGATGCCAGATGTAAGAGTGAAGAATGGAAGATTTCTCTTTTTTAACGTCCAGTACCAAGTAGAAAATGTACTTGCGAGCATCATATCGGAAACACCGCTGATGAAAAACATCATCCAGAAAAAGCCCAATACATTCACCACTGTAAACAAAATATGTAATCAGTTAGCGAAGCATCGAGTGTGAATGTAAAATAAGCAATTAGTTAAGGGCATGGAGTAATAATTCTATAATAGTATAGTCATAGACGATGTCTCAATTACAATAGTTATGTAAACGAAAAACTGCAATTGTAAACATGCTTCTTGACTTAGATTTTAGAATTCTGAGTTGTTATTTTCCAAGAGAAAAAGAAGAAAATTTAATTTTTATTTGATTATTCCGTTTGAAGACATATACTTAAATAAACAACTTATAATAAACACATACAAACTAGCTCCTATGCTGTGGTTATGCTCACGTGAAATATCTACATACATACAAATAGGTACTCGATGAAAATATAGCCAATTTAATTTAATTAAATTAAGTTATAAATCAATCTATCAAGTATGATTATATAATAATTACAAGTTTTTATAACTTTTAAGTAAAACCTTCAAAAATAATTCTCCCTAATTTTGTAAGTTAATTCCAAGTTAATGCCTTTATATTACTAAACATGTATTAAATAGTATAAGCAAACAGGGCGAGAGCTATTGACTAAATAATACTGTGGAATTGTTACACTAGAAGTTTGGAAAATATGTACCCAAGCGAAACTTACTGGTCACACTTACAGGTATATTATTATACATATGTGTATATTAGTATAGTTCATTCATTCATTCATAATTTAAGAGCTACGCTCTTGTCGGTGGAGCTCTTGCCACTTTTTATAGTATAGTATATTATATATAGTATAGTATATATATTTATAAGTATATTGTGTGACATGTATCTATATAATAAATATGTATTTACTAACAGTGCAAATACGGGGCGCCCGTCGGACCATTTAGTCCGCTAAAATGGCAGGAAGCGAGTTTACACGCCTGTGGCGACCCACTGCTACTGTCCTGGCAGCTGGACGTGAATTCAGGCGGTTTGCAATCTACATAATCCTAAAATCATGAAATAACCATTATTAGCAGGTACATCAAATAATCAAACATTAAAAGTATAAGTATCAACAATACAGACTAAAAGAAATTTGACAGGGTTTATTTACGTATTTTATACCTGCATCATTTTTCGAACTAGACAAAAAAGAAAAGGGGAAATCAAAAATCGCTTGCCATAAATTATTTTTATCGACTACTGTTACACACAGATTAGCGCGTTCAAACAACAAACTCTTCTTTGTTGTAGGTAGATATGTATTATACTTTACAACCTGCGCAACTTCTGCGTTATATTTCTACACTTTTTGCAATATTTTTCATTACAGTTCCGATCCTATTTGTGGTAGCGTAATATTTTATTGCTTAAACCCTTCCTCGTCTAATAGACTATACAACACAAAAAGAATGTTTGAATTCGAACCAGTAGTTCCTGAGATTAGCGCGTTCAAACAAACAAACTCTTCAGCTTTATAATTTTAGTATATCTAGATAATATACCTTCCTATATATATTAATTAACTTACCGTATAATTTTTATTACATTGGCAATTTGTGTCATTCTTCAGATTGACCACCTTGAACGTAGATTCGCCGATAGACATCAAACTCATACATACGAAGATACCATAAGCGATCACCAAGCACTGCAAGAGCCATGGGAATATTGGGAACAATACAGTCGATTTAATTGCGGTAACGGCTCTGAAACGAAAATACGACTGATAAAATTACTTACCTAAGGTATAGGTATAGTCAGAGGCATTGTCAATCGGCGATGTCGCACATTGGGTTGAAAATGATAAAAAAGGGTAATTTTATTAAGTACCGTTTATGTAAATATGACAATCGATGAGAGAATGAGAATGAGAGTAATAAGGCCTTTATTACTCTCATTCTTCCATTCATCATTTAAGGGCTACACTCTTGGCGGTGGAGCTCTCGCCACTTTCTTCTTTATCATGCTCTTTAAATGTCGATACATTTTGTCTTTAATTATTACTCTTATTATATTTATTCAATAGGGTTTAAAGTCGAGAAATAAAAATTAGTTATTTTATATGATGATGAGAATCATGAAATGCGCTTTTTCTGATTACTTTTAATAGATGGTGTTCGTCGGGGCCCTATCAGACGCCATACATAACAATTATTTCTCCTTAAATTGATATTTTTTATAACAGTTTGTTTTGATTTAACTGTGAAAAGAAATAGGTGCGTGCCGTTTTACAGTGTTCGTACACGAATATGCTGAGGAGAAGACGAGCTGATATAGGTCGTTGAAGTTGTCAACATATTTTAGTTAGTTAGTCGTATATTTGATATGCGACGAGCTTTACATTAACGAAGTGGGTCATTTAGCTATAGATATATCTACAATATTAAAAATGTATTATTATTATAGACACTTACTTGCTTCCTTCCTTTATAAGAGCTATAGCAATTACGATGCGGCCTCTCAAAAATATCACTATGAGTAACATTATGACTAGTATAATGGCGGTGATAATGAGTATAGCCATCCACGTCTGGTGCTTGGTGAATATAGATTGCGTGTAACCCAGTAAATTGCTCGTAGATGCCATATGTACTGGGTTATCGAGGTAATACTTGTAGTTCGTGTAGCAAACGTAAACCGCTGAAATTGGAAAATAGTTAATGTAGTTAACGAAGCAGAAGGATTATTGATAATGTGTATTAATGAACACACTATAAATGTACCCTGGCAGATTGATCACCACAATGTTTCTCTTGGAAATCATTCTGATAAATTCCTGTAAATTTACCACGATGGACTGACTGACCTGACCTCATGCTTATTTTATCATCCTTCACTGGTGCCCAGCCAGCATAATCTCGAAGTCGGGTACGCGATTTCAATATCATCAATTAAACAAAAACCGGTACCGGTTAGCATATCCGGATTTTCTACGAATTATATATATATATAAATTCGTAGAAATTTGCATTTGTAAAATTATCGATAAGTTAATTGCGTAGATGAGTGAGTAAAACGAACAAATGTAAAAATTACTTTACATTAAAAAAAAGTATTACCAAATCCAAGCAATGCTATAAATCCGGCTATGGAGAACCACACAACGGGTGCAACCACCCATCGCAACAGTAGAATATATGTGAAGCAGATGACAACGACGGCTACCACACCGCCAGCCATGTACCACCGTGACTGTACCAAGTCTTGAACTATTTGCGCCGACAACTGTACATACATTACACACAAAATATTGGTAAGCGAAAACCGTCTAAAGTAAATGTTATTAGTGTACAGAGATAAATTAATATCGTTTATACCCACGACTTCGTAATGTACAAACTTTCTTCCCCTATTTTACTTTTATTTCACCCCCATCCAGATTATTTTCCAGGATAAATCATAGTATACATATATCAGTCTTCGTGATCCAATTTCATTAAATATCTTCATGTCAAATTTCATTAAGATCCATTCAGTATCTTAAGTGTTGAAAAGTTACAAAACACACTTTCGCATTAATAATCAATACTAATACTGATTTCTGTTGCATGTTAAATTTTCCTTCAAAATAAACAAATGAATACCAAATCTGAATGTAAGGATTAGGGCCTCTATAACGCCGTAAATGTGATCTCACGTCTCTATATCAGTTTAAGAACAGGAATTATTATTATTTTATATATATTATTTATAAGTAGGTATTACTCGCGACATAGTTTGTGATAGGTCTATTCACGTCATTTCATTGCGATCCATTCATTCGTGAGTATCACTCACAAACAGAACGCAAAAAAGTTTCAGTATTAATTAATTTACTAAGTTTGAAATGAAATATAAATATTAGTCAAGCAGTTTCTTTTGCAAGTATATATTTATAATTTTTGTTAATATGTTATACTAGTAACTAGTTAGTTCGATACAATCATGCTAGAATTTTCATTTTATTCATTTTTACACATAATATTTGTAAAAACATTCAATGAAATTTACCATACTTTATACCTATAATACAGATGTATACCTACCTATGGACATGCGGGAGTAGATGCACTCTAGCAATTAGTATATTTTGTATAACGACTAAATCAATCTCTATTCAGCATGCACTATAAAAAGGTATAATTAATGTTTATTATTGTTTCAATTCATGACCTAAAGGTATAGTGGCCGGCTAAAATCATCATCATATTGCTGACATAGAGAAAAATAAAATATAAAAAGATCTAGGTACAAACTATAATCATTATTAAAAAATAGTTAATTTAGTAGCTAAAAGCTCTTTGTCAATTTGGCTTAGATGTACAACTTATATTATATTTATTATAATTAATATTATTTATTCCAATTTCAGTTATTAAAATTGTGTTTCTAACCACTATTTTCAATTGACTTACATTTTTATATTGCTACATTACGTGAGCTACTCGAAAGAAAATTAATTACTTTATTTAAAAAGCTGTATTCGGCCACTGTACCATAGACAATACGACTAACATACTTATATTTTCGTACCTCATTATAATTGTATAAATTCTGGATGTGATTATGTAATTGTTCTTCGTTTAGTTCCATTTCTATAGTTGCGTTATATATCTCCTCCACTTTTTCCATAGCCTCTGTGATGTTGACTAAGCACCGACGGAAGACTGTTTCCATGCACCGAACATGCACTCCATTAGTTATTAATGCATTGTGAATTGGACATCAATGTAATATTACATCTTACATGCTAGTTCATGAACAAGACAGGTATTAAGTAATGGAAATTGGAAATCGTGCGAAGGATATATGCACTTGAATTAGCTACTCGGTTATTCCTGTTGTTAATCGTTAGTTAAATAAAGATTAGTCAGGCGATGCTACCATGCCCAATAAGGTTAGGTTATATTAAACATCGAATTTGTATGTTTTACGTGCGGGACGATTAGTGCGATGCGACCGTTAGGTAGGGTACATACAATATGGGCGTCTCGTTGGTTGTTCGTAAAGAATGACACCCAGCTAGCGGCGATCCAGCCCACATACGAGTCCAAAGCTGTCGCGCTGTTGAACAGCGACTTCTGCGCTTCTTTAGGGTTACGCACGCAGGTGTCACCGCTACCGGAGCTCCTCCATATGGAGCTAGCCGTTGTTGATACATTCTTGCATTTTGGCATGTCAGATAGGTCGCCGATGCAGCGGAACAACACTGAAGTTTATTTAATAATTTTGGCCAAATTGGTCGGACAGGCGTGTTTTGTGTAATTTTGACAATCTGATATTGGTGTGCTGCCTACATAATTTTTTTATGGCATAGGGGCTTGCCGCCGCCCATGATTAATTAATTCATATATTTATTTATTTAAACTTTACATGAATACAATATATAAATGTACATATAGCGAATTTAACAGCTGAGGGCCTTCTCTGCCAGTCAACCAACCAAACCAACCAACCATACGGCAAACTGCGAAATTAGTAAACGGCGCATTATAGTTTACAAAGATATCTACGTGGTTTTTTCGTCTTAATTCATTCACATACATACTTAGGTATATACAATACAAAAAAGTACATGTATATAGAGGAGAAGAATAGAGAGAAAAATAGAGCGGAAAAGAAAAATATTTAGATATAAACAAGGAGAATCAGCAATTTTAATTATGATTGTACATTACAAAGAAATGAACGCATAATTTAGCTCTAAATCAGATTTATTTTAATAGATTTAATGTCAAAGGCAGGGAATTCAAGTGTTTATATGCCTGAATATACCCACATAGATGTATAGGTATTAACAAAAAGCTACATGGTCACAGTAATTTGGGTTTGGTAGTTGATTTAAAAAATTAGCTTATTTATATACTTACAGAGTTAACATTTTACAATGTTAGCTCTGTCAGCTATTAATAGTGGGTATAATATTTATGTTTTAAATAAATTATTGTTCGAACTGAATCATTTATAATAACTGATACCACGACATATGGTGCGAATAACACATTTGTCATGATAATAGGTATACCTATATTTAATTGACTAAGAAGACACTTATAAGGGATCTATCAAATAAATAGTGCTAACGAACACTATTTATTTGATAGGTCGTTAAACACATATAACAAGTTTCATATTTCCTACGCAACCCTAAAAGTGCGCATATATATCAATGTTTTACTTTTTTTAATATCTAGGGGACACTAAACTTAAACTAACACTAAACACTAGGGAACTTTATATATAAGACCAACAGAAATCACACTCACTCCATGCCAGTCTCGCAAAAAATGAATTAACAACGCCAAGCTTATAATTAGTACCAGTAAACGTAATCCCTTAAATAATCATGAATACCACAAGTGAGAAACTAAAATACCACATTACCTGATTGACTTTTCAACACGTATTTGGCACATGTCCCATCCTCAATGTGCCTTTTTGCTTGATCATAAGTTAACGTGTTCATATCCACATCGATGGTACACACCATGCTACTCTTCAAGGTGGCGAATGACGAGGGTGTTAATTGAGTATCGAATACTATTGTCTCCTTCGGACATTCCTTAACACAGACCTGAAACATTACAAAAAAGTTTGGTAAATGTAGATAAATATCTTTGAAATGTGATTAAACATTTAATTAAATTCTAAGGAAGTGTGTACTAATAAGTGTTTCAATTCATAATAGTAAATCAATCAAAAGTCAATCTTAATAAAGTTGTTAAATATATATGTATAAGTTATATATATTAAAATTAAAATTCAAAAACATTTCTTCATGTATTATATTAGCCGCTTATGAACGTAAATTTTTTTACATTATAATTTTAATTTTTTCCCTGTTGTCTATACTTACCGTATATATTTATATATATACCAAAGGCTATATATAAATATATATATTTCCAGTGACAGTAAATCTGAAATATATTGTTGGGTATAAGGATACACCAACTTGAATAATAATACCACATAAATAAATATACCTAGGTAGTAATAGGTACCTACTATTACTAAACTTAACTAAAGTACACAGATTACACTGTAGTGTATACAGTATATTTCATTATATTCCTTTAGTTGAAATTATATATAATTAGATATACATAGGTTTCTAAATTATAGAGTTTATTATATATACTCTATAATTTAGAAACCTATGTCTCCTATTAGTTCCGTAATTTTGTTGCAACAAAAGTATTTATTAATATATATTTATATTACCTGTTTCGTAGGACAGCCGGAGATGGGGGTATCGGGCCGTAGACATTGTGAAATATCGAAGAACACTAAATACTTTTTATCTTCAACGTATGAATTAAGACCACAGCGACGGCCCATCGAGTCCATTGGCGCCAATAAAGTTTCGATATCACCATGTGTCTTGCCTGTATATTAAAAACATTTAAAAAGATGAAAAAAACATAACTATAAATAATTATCTGTAGGTACCTGTACCTATTTATGTAATGCATTAAAAATAGAAGCACTTAAAATAAGAGATGAAGTAAACAAGTAACGCAAAGTAAATGGGTCGGTATTTTATACAGCGCCGTATAATTAAAAATAAATTACATTAGAGAAAATATTGCAAAAGATACGATAAGTGATATCCACTGGTGTAACATCTACGAAATAAAAAATACATCAGTTGTGGCTTCACATTTTTCCATAAAATCTTCTAGTTGTAATTTAAATTGCTTCAACACTTTTCAGTAAATTACTTAATAAATTTTACATCTCCTTGTCCTCCTAGTCCACATGGCAGGCTGATTATGGGGATCCGTTAGCTTGCTATTCTAGTCGCATAATAAAATAAAAGAAATCGAATAATTAGGTATATAGGACTAAAGTATTTTGTTACATACCATAATAACCTACGTAACCCCATGCACCCATATATAGTATAAACACAATAAGCCATATGATGTCTGTGCAAGATCGATTGTGTGTTGGTCCATTGAAATGCGGATCATATCGTATCGGTTTTCCTGAAATTAATAAAAACACTTTGGTTAATAAATATGGTTACAATAATTATCATGGTACCTTTTTATATGTATGTTTAAATTGTGCACTTGATTAATGGAAGCTTACTAAAAATATATTCTCAGTTCTACCACCAAAGGCACCATAATAATATTGTAAACTAAATATAAACAACATTTTTTGACCAAAATGTGGTTTACTTTTAGTTTATAATATTATTATGGTGTCTTTTTATATTAAATTATGTTTAAATTATGTACTTAGCTTACTAAAATATATTCTTAGTTCTGAAATATTCATTTAATATTTTTCTCACCTCAATTCTCTGTATCTATGAATTGCAATATAAATTATTGTAAAATAGTATAAGCGGTATCAAATAATTATTACATGATTCATATTACATACACATCACTTAACTACAGTAAAATTAACAAATATTGCCTTGATTTTTCTTCAGGGCTCGCGGGTTATTACTAAGCTGTAGGTATATATACCTATATCGAAACGCAACATCTTAATCTTAATAATATTATAAACATGAAATTTTATGAATTTGGATGTTTACTCTTTCACCCAACGAAATTGTACAGTAAAATAGCTTATGCATTAGAATAACACATAAGCTATATTTTATATTGAAATTTAACGCGGTTGAAACCGCAGGCACAGCTAGTATAGAATATGTCAGTACGTAAAGTACTCGTACTATTATGGTGTACTGATATAACGCTGTGTCGCTATCCAGTGGTTGTGAATTCGATCCAGCTTAATTTTATATTGATAAGTACCTCCTTTTGTATTGCTCTTCGAGTTCTCTATATATTATTATAGAAGATATAAATAAAACGTACAAAATAATATTATGCTATGCTGATAATGGAAGTAAGTATGTGTCATCTGCCACAATCAGATTCCAAATGAATTGTAGATATATGATTAATTTACATAATTATGGGTACAATCCCTATGCGTATATACAATATTAATCATACTGCCGCAAGACCCAACCTATGTATATAAATAAATATCATTACAGGTGCATTAACATTAAAATACTAAAAGTGTAGTATTTACATATCACTAGATAAGTTGTAGGTATGTAAGTACTCGTATTATTACGATATAAATTTAGGTACAGGAAAATAGATAGATTTAAATGGGCATCATTTACAGTTTACAATTTTACAGAGGATTACTTACTAGATTCTTTTGGTGGTACGCAACAGTCTCCACAGCACCCCATATCACCACAATTGTATATTTTTCATAATAATTCAAGTAATATTCATCTATACACAAAAAATATATGTAGGAATAAAAATTGATTAGATACATGTGATGTAAGTCTTATCTCTTGGTTATCAATGGTAGTAGTACGATATAGCCCAAGAGCCACGACTGCCAGACATACGCCATTTTAGTAAACGTGAAAGTTCTTGTATGTGTGTCCCCAACACAGATAAGAACGATCCCCAAACATGAAACCTGGATCGTGGTTCCTTTGGCAGGTAGCAGGTAACAAAGGTGTAAAAAATTTCATATCAAATTCGTTATTTTAAGAAACTCCATATTTTCATATATTATTCGTAGCATTATTATAACTTGCGCTGCTCATTGCCAGATACTTAATGTGGTTCCAACCCCCCGCCGGACCCCCCTAAACTATACTATTTTAGAAATAAACTTACGTCATTTTAATAAAGCTGAAATTTATATATATTATTGAGAGTTCTCTCAAACTGAGTTTCCTAAATTGCCAGACAGTTTTCTTGGTTCCTTATTCTACCAGACTCATTGAAACCGTATATTGGGTAACAACGGTGTATACAATTTCATATCAAATTCGCTATTTTAAGATGCTCCATTTTTTCACATATTGCTCGTAACAGTATTATAACAGTGTTGGTTACAGTCTTGCATAAATATTCCGGTATTAATCGATTATGACAGCTACCATACTTCTAGACACTTAAACCAGAATAGTGGAGTAGTGGTCTATGCCCGCAATAATATTCGTAATTTAACCACATATGAACCATCTTTGTCTGATGCGGATGGTCTAGTTGTAACCATTGGGAACCAGTATGCTTTCATTTGTATCTATAGATCACCTTCATTTGGTTCATGTACGAATTTTTTCAACTCCTTAGACTCATTACTAACAAAGCTACAAAATATACCAAATGTCTATATAACTGGAAACTTGAATATAGACATAGGTAATAGTAACTGCGATCCCAGATCAGATGAGTACTTGGACCTGCTTGCCTCTCATGGACTGATCCCCAGTCACATAATACATACTAGAGAGACAAAATGTCTCGATCACAGTTTTGTGAAATCTAAAAACAAGGTTTTAACTATAGTATGCAACTCATCAATTACCGACCACAACTGTGTTTTTCTTGACATACCCACATCTCATACTCACAATATTCGTATACTAAAATAAAAAAACAGGATAAATTATGAAATGGCTGGTAAGTTGCTATGCACCGCAAATTGGAATGATATTTATATGTCTAGGGATCCAAATGAAGCTACTGAATTGTTTATTGGTGTTGTGCGGGGCGTAATCAAAGAATCTACTCATACTTATACTGTCTCTCATAGGAAATGGACTGTTCAACCTTGGGTAACTCCTGGATTGTTAAGATGCATGAGATATCGGGATACATTACATAGACGTCATAGAAAGTCACCCGATGATATAAATCTAGCAATAATATATAAACGCTATAGAAACCACTGTAACAATATTTTGCATAAACTAAAAAATGATCACGACAAATCTGAATTACAAAATAGTAAAAACAATATAAAAAGTACATGGAACGTTATAAAACGCATATGTAATATTAACAATAATATCAATTCTATGATTTCCACTGAACTTTTAAGACTGAAGCAAACACCAGAAGAATCGATTGAATACATAAATGAATATTTTGACAATGTGGGTAATAAACTTGCGGTTGATATTTTGCAAAATCTTAATTTATCTGAGACTGACCTTACTCAACAATATACAGCTGAAAACTCTAATCTGAACTCATTCGTACTATTAGAAACCGATATAAATGAAGTAAATAAAATTATACTATCATTGAAAAATACACCAGCTTGTGGCTGGGACGGTATTTCATCTATATTTCTAAAAAAATACATTGATATTCTAATTACTCCAATTACCTTCCTTTGTAATCTCTGTATTTCATCAGGGGTTTTCCCAAATTCACTAAAAAAATCTGTAGTGATCCCTGTATTCAAATCAGGCGGCAAAGACAGTGTCAACAATTATCGGCCAATATCACTCCTTCCCGTTTTGGCTAAGATCCTAGAAAGACTAATTAATCGCCGTCTCGTAAGCTTTCTGGACACAAACAACATTTTGTCAAACAATCAGTACGGGTTTAGAGAAAAATTGTCTACAAATGACGCGATCGAGAGCCTTGTATCCCATATAGCCGACAACTTAGACAATAAACGAAAATGTGTTGGAGTTTTCTTAGATTTGGCTAAGGCGTTTGACACTGTCTCCGTCCCAATATTACTGTGTAAAGTAGAGTACATACTATTACCGGGGATTACCGTTGGAATTACTTAAAAGTTACCTCTGCGATAGATCCCAAATCGTAAGGATTGAGAACAGATATAGTAGCAATCGAACCGTCACTTTTGGAGTGCCTCAGGGTTTGGTCCTTGCACCGACTCTCTTTCTAATTTATATAAATAATCTCTCTAATTTTAACCTATCAAATACAAAAATTGTGTCATTTGCGGATGACACCGTTCTAATATTACAGGTCCTTCATGGGAGGAGGTTCGTCTAACTGCTGAGAAAGGAATAAGGGTTATAATAAATTGGCTTGACAAAAATATTCTAACATTAAATCTAAGTAAGACTAAATATTTAACATTTACAATATATAAAAATAATCAACCTAAGCCTGATTTTACAATAAGAGCCCATACCTGTTCCCAATATGAAAATGGAAATTGTGGCTGTGTTGTTCTCTCTCCTACAGATAATACTGATTTACATTTACAATATGATGTAATATATTATAATATAATGTAACTTAGTATAGTTTAATCTAATACATTTTTATACTAATATAAATATATAGGATAAATACTTATCTTGATATATGGAGCATGAATTAGATATTTTATCTTTGTTTTCTTTTTTTTTATTAACATAAATTCATTAAAAAAAAAATCTAAATTATCTGTATCGTTAACATATACTGTAATAAGTTATCATTACATTCAAAAGAATGTTGCCGGCTGACGATCCCATTGTATTATAAAAACCGTTTGATATGCCATTTAAAAATGAGCCCTATTCATATAATGCGAGATTCTTACCTTGCCGTAACACAGTTATTTAACTAGCACGGGAGGTAATGATTTTTAACTGTATACCCTCAAAAATACTTACTTTGTTTTATATAGTTTTTTTTTTATATTATTTATAATTTCTGATGCATTGTTTGTGTTTGTTTAAGTGTTTTTCTTTGTAAATTATTATTATTATGTAATTTCTAAAATAGTATAGATTAGGGGGGTCCGGCGGGGGGTTGGAACCACATTAAGTGTTTGGCAATGAGCAGCGCAAGTTATAATAATGCTACGAACAATATATGAAAACATGGAGTTTCTTAAAATAACGAATTTGATATGAAATTTTTTACACCTTTGTTACCTGGTACCTGCCAAAGGAACCACGATCCAGGTTTCATGTTTGGGGATCGTTCTTACCTGTGTTGGGGACACACATACAAGAACTTTCACATTTACTAAAATGACGTATGTCTGGCAGTCGTGGGCTCTTGCTCTAAAACTATTGTTCGCTAAACTCGCGTCGTATGCGTCGCGTAATACGGCTGTTTACCTACTATGGTCAATATTTCTGAGGTGTGCTGCGGAAAAATCGGAAAATGCAGAGAAGCCTTTTCAAAGATTGCTCTAAATTTTTATTAGTTAAGCTACACGT